GAACTGAGCTAAGGGGCAGGCCCCCTCAAAGTAAAACTTTTAAAAGGGGTAGGGAAAGGCTGAGGCAGGAGGATCATTGGAAGTTGGAGACCAGCCTGGGCTACAAAGTGAACTCAAGGCCAGCCTGAACTACATAGTAAGACCCTGTCTCAAAAAGAAAAAAACATTTTTTCTACTTCCAAGATGCGAAAACAGGCATAGAGAGGCCAAGTGACTGTCCCCAGGCCACACAGCCACCAGCCCTGTGCCTTTGGACTGGCTCTGGGTGACAGCTGTTGGCCACAGCTCTAGGAGAAAGAAATTGCCCGTTGGACTGGACACAGCCTCTTCCCTGGGCTCCGCTCCACTTCTGGCCCTCCTCCAGGTTCCCAGGGTCAGCGAGGAGGACCAGGAGCCACTCCCAGCCTGCCACAGAGATGAGTCAGGCAGGCAGGGCCTCCAGGAGCCACTTCCTACACGCGCAGCCCGCAGCCCCCCAGCCCCTCCCCAGGCCGCAGGCCCAGCAGCGGGTATGGCAGAGGACAGTGGTGGTCTGCTCTGGGCCCCCACACTCTTCCTCGGCCCCAACCCCCTCCCCCGGGAGCATGGGGTCAGGGGTCAGGGGTCAGAGTAGACTAGAAGCTGGCCAGGCCGGGGAAGAAGGGACCTAAGGACGAGAACTTGGGAACTGCATCCCTCACGGAATCGTTCCTGTACGCACCACCGCCTGCACAGGGTAAATGGCTGCGGCCAGCTGAGCACGCTCCTGATGCGGCCACTGCTCTGTAACCCTGCGACAGACAGGGACGGGGGCGCAGAAGTCCTGTGTGTGGGACCTGGCTCGGCCACCATCTTGCTGTGTGACCTTCAGGCAGCCCCTGGGTGTCTCTGGGCTGTGGCTTCCTCAGCTGCTCTGCAGTCCCATCAGCCCGGCTCTGGCCACTGTCACCCTGGTGTCACATAGGTCCATGGCCTCACACAGGATGCAGAGTCAGAGTCCCCCAGCTCCATGAAAAGGCAAACAATGTTTTTTTTTCCTTTTTGAGACAAGGTCTTGCTCTGCAGTTCAGGTTAGCCTTGAGCTCACTTTTTAACCCACACTAGTCTGGAATTCACAGTGATTCTCCTGCCTCAGCCTCCAGAGTGTTGAGATTACAGGCAGAGTGTTGAGATTGCAGGAATGTGCCACCACGCCCATCAAAAAGGTAAACAAGTAAGCTAGGAAATCAAGGAATCTTTCCATGTGTTAGTAGCTATCAAGAAAGACCTGGAGGGGGGGCTGGTGAGATGGCTCAGTGGTCTAAAGCACCTACTTGGAACAAGCTTGGCAAAGCACAGGCACAGAGACCTCGGTTCAATCCCCCAGCACCACATGCCAGCCAGCCCCACCCCCTGGTGGGCTGAGCTGGCCACACACACACACACACACACACAAATAATTAAAAAAAAAAAAAAAAAAAAGAAAGACCTGGGCCATGCATAGTGGCACACACCTGTAATCCTAGCACAAGAGGCTGAGGCAGGAGGATCCGTGTGAGTTTGCACCTAGCCTGGGCTACAAAGTGATCACTGTTCAGGGGCAGCTTGAACTATACAGTGAGACCCTGTTTCAAAAAACCAAACAACCAATCAACCAAAAGACAATAAAAAGAAACAAAAACAGAGAAAGGCCTGGGATGTTATACTGTACACACTGTCCCTCGTGTTGTCACCAGCAGCCAAAGCTACCTGGTCAGGCAAACATAGCCCCTGGGGGCCACAGCACTGCCTCATCCTTCCCCATCTTGCCCCCAGAGATCTGAATCCCCAGAACCCGTGAATCTGTCACCTTCCGTAGCCAAATCTATGATTCAGTTGAGGAACTTGAGATAGGAAGATTATTCTAGATTATCTGGGCCTCAGATACTCTGGAGAAACCTGACAAGCAGGAGGAAGAGGCTGTAATCCCAGTACTCAGGAGGCTGAGGCAGGACCCTGGGCTCCAGGAACCTGGGCAGCACCCTGAGTTCAAGGCCAGGCTGAGCTGCAAGGTAAGACAGGGAAACATGCCTTCTCATACAGCTTCCCGGAGGAACCAGCAGGCCACTGACCTTGACGTTACCAGTTAAGGTTTCTGGCCACTAGAGCTTGTAAGATAACAAGTTTGTGGCTTTGTCTTGTTTTGTTTTTTGACACAGCGTCACTGTGTAGCCCAGGCTGGTCTGGAACTTGTGTGGATCCTCCCGCCTCAGCCTCCCAAGTGCTGGGATTACATGCGTTCAGGACCACACCCAGCTAAATCCTTTCTTTTTTTTTTTTAATATTTATTTATTTTTATTTATTACATTTATTTATTGTGTGTGTGTGTGGCCAGCTCAGCCCACCAGGGGGTGGGATGTGGTGCTGGGGATCGAACCGCGGTCCCTGTGCTTTGCCAAGCTTGTTTCAAGTAGGTGCTTTAGACCACTGAGCCATCTCTCCAGCCTAAATCCTTTCTATTAAGGACCAAATAGTTCCCCCTTTTCAGGACATGTGATTGTTATGGTAAGAAAAGTTACAGTATGTAAAGGGCATGCTCTGCCCTCAATATGTAAATGAAGGGCTCTACCCACAAGGTATAAATGAGAAACTCCACCCACAATATGTAACTATGGGTCCCGCCCACAATCTACAAAGGACAGGCCCGGCTGTGTGTCAATCAAACTTCCTACGGACCCAGAAATCTGAAACTTCACATCATCCCTGTGATGTGAGGCAGTATCTACACAGTCATTTAAAGACATAAATGCTATTTTTCAGCTCTTGGGCAGTACAGCGCGAGGAGGGCCTGACTCCTGAGACTGTGAGTCACCTGATTTTGGAAGGGTACCTGGAAGGCATGGTGGCCTCATCCTCCCTCTCAGCCGCTCAGCTCCCTGTGGCCCTCGGTGGCTGGCATGTCATGCTCCTGTCCTGTCTGTCCAGAGCAGACGTCTTCCTGACTCTTTCCTGCCAGCCCCTGAGCCCACGGTCCTGCTCCTCTGGCTTCCCCAAGTGCCCAGCCAGCACCCGGCCAAGGACCCTGGGACCACCTCCCCAGGAGCATTGTAGCTGGCTCCCAGTTCCCTGCTCCATCCACAGAAGAAGCCAGCAGCAGCCTGTAAAAACGCAGACCTCCCATCTGCGCTCTAACTCCTGCTGTGTCTCCCACACGCCCCTGGGAACAGCCCAAGTCTGCACACACACACACACACACACACACACACACACACACACACACACACGGCCCCCAGCCTGTGGGATGCGGCTCAGCTGCCGCTCCTGGGAACAGCCCAAGTCTGCACGCGCGCGTGCGCGCGCACACACACACACACACACACACACACACACACACACACACACACACGGCCCCCAGCCTGTGGGATGCGGCTCAGCTGCTGCTCCTGCCACGCCCCCTGACACCTTCGGTCCCTCTCTGCCTAGAGTGCTTTTCCTGCACATCTTCATGAAACAGCCAGGTCTGGTTCAAAACGTTACCTCTGGGGGCCGGGCAGATGGCTCAGTGGAAAAAGTGCTTCCCTGGCAAGCGCAAGGGCCTGAGTTCAATCCCTGGTTCAGTAAAAAAAAAAAAGTTACCTCCTTGGAGAGCAAAACAGCTGCCCTAGCCCCATCTCTGTCTACCACATCCGCTGCTTTATTATTATAAAATTATTATCCTGTGGGTTTGTTTCTTTCTTTCTCTTTTCCTTTTTCCCTTCCTTCTTTATTTCGATTTTTTAGGATAGAACCTTGCTGCGTATTCCACGCTGGCCTTGAAATCATGATCCTCCTGCCTCAGCCTCCCAAGTGCTGGGATTACAGGTGAGGACTACCATACCGTCTCTTTCTCCCACCACTCTGTTCTGATCCATCAATAGATCCTACTTGCTGTGCAACATCTGCTCCAAATCCTCCCTTGTTGTTCCGGGTGTTGCTCACCTCCATGGCTGTAGGGGCCCCCCACCAGTCAGTCTCCTGGCTACTCCCCTCTCCCTTCTCCCTTCTCAAACTATTCTTCACAGAGCAGCCAGAGATGTTTAAAAATATGAATCAGATTCTAACACCCAGCTTCTGAAGGCCTCCTCTGGAAGTCATTCTCAACTCCTCGCCTCAGCCCGGAAGGCCTTTGTGATCTGGCCTAGCGAGCCTCTCCACCAGCCGGAGGGCCAGTCACGCCGCCCCTCCCGGCTGCTCCAGAAGCACACGGGCCTGCTCCTGCCCCAGGCCTTTGCACCTGCTCTTCCCTTTGCCAGAAAAGTTCTTCCTCAGATGTCTGTGTGACTTCCCATCTCCATGCAGGGCTTCCTCACAGAGGCTGCCAGAGACCCCCACCCTGACACAGCTGGGTTCCCCCTCCCCATCCTTCGCTTCATCTACTCTGCAGGGGGCTCAGCACCTTACCACCCGGCCACTCAACATCTCTTCTGCTTTTTCTTCCAGAACCAAGGGCCTTACATACCTAGCAAGGCCTCTCTCTGCCAGCAAGCTGCATCCAAAAGCCCTTCAAATATTTGTTTTTATGATATTGGGGATTGAACCTAGTAACTCTACACTAAGCTAAATGCCCAGCCATTGGGAAAACTTTTTATTTTGAGACAGGGTCCCCTAAATTGCCCAGGTGTCCATCCTCCTGGCCCAGCCTCCCAAGGGCTGGGTTACAGATGCAAACCACCCTGTCTTCTCCTTTTTAGTTTTTATCTTGGGCCAGGCTTTCACTGAGTCATCCAGGCTGGCCCCAAAATTGGGATCCTCTGGCCTCAGCCTTCCAAGTAGCTGGGATGATGGTCAAACAGCGCAGCACCAAGTTTAAATTTACTTATCTGTCTGCCCTGGAGACTGAGCTCCACAGGGCGAGGACTTGGTCTCTACCGATCCCCGGTACAGTGCCGGCTTCAATTCCATGCTGGCTCTGAACACATGCTCAAGAAGCAGGTGCTAATGGAATGAATGCCCCTGCACACACTCATACGTGTGCACACACACACACACGCACGCACATTCTCTGCTCCTGCTCCAATACTCACATCCACCATGGGTATCCCACCAACACCTGCAACTGGAAACTGGGGAGTCCCCATGGACAGGCTCCTGGTCCCCGACGCCGTCTCTGCCATCAGCAGCACGCAGAGCCAGCTCAGCAGCCCCTGCGGGCCAAGCCACCCGCTGGCCATCGGCACAAGGCCCGGGCCTCACCTGCTCCCCTTCCCAGCTTCAGCTCAGAGCTCCAGCAGCTGCGGGTAGCAAGAAGGGGAGGCTGTGTCACCAAGGGGTGAAGAGCCAGCAGAAGCCCCCAGGGCTGTCCTGGCCCCATTCCCAGCAAAAGAGAGCCACGCATTGTGCGGCAGCCCGAGGTAGGGGCAACCACAGCTCCATCCAGTAGCACCCATTGCCCTCCCTCACCCTTCTTCCTGGTGCCCTGGGCCGAGGAGGGGAGAGGAACATGAGAAGTGGTGGTAGTAGGATGAGGAACTCTCAAAACACAGGAAGCCTACATTGGGGTGGGCTTGTCCTGTTTCACAGCCGGCAGAACAGTGTGTACGCCTGGGTATTAAATCCAGGGTCTTCCCACTGAACTAAATCCCCAGCTCCTTTCATTTGGTAAAAGTTTGAGACAGAGTCTCCATAAATCCTTAAATTGCCCAGGTTAGGCTTGAAATTGCAATCCTCCTGCCTCAGCCTTCCAGGGCACTGGGGTTGTCGGTGTGCATCACCCCACGTGGCCCAGGGCAGCACTGCTGATCCACCTTGGTGTGCAAGCAGCATGTGGCAATGGTGACCTCAGTAACTTTGCCATAATGTGGCCAGTGGGGCACCAGTATTACCTCCTCTTTACAAATGGGCACACTGAGGCAGGGTGAGGTGTAGCCACCCCCACCCACCCCACCCCAGGACTGCCATTTGCTTCCACAGAGTAGGGGCTGGGGCTCAGAGGGGCCTCTGCCAGGGACCAAAAGCCACACAACAGGGCGGTCACACGGCCAGGGGCTCCGGAGGGAAGTAAATTAGTTGCTCAAGGCCCAAAGTGCTGCAGCAGAAATGGCCTCTGCTGCTTCCCTCAATGCTAGTTGAAAATGGATTCTTTTTTCTTCAAATCATTTAAATTGAACCAGGCAAGAAGGCATGCACCTGTAATCGCAGCACTTGGGAGGCTGAGGCAGGAGGGGTGTAAATTTGAACCCAGCCTGGGATACACAGCAAGCCTCAGTCTCAAAAAGTCACAAGAGGGGCATTAAAGGGGGAAGCATGACTCTGGTAAAGTGCCATGTATGCTTTCCCACCTGCTCAACACTGAGTATGTTTTATTTCTTAATAAGGAAAAACAAAGTTTATAAAACAGTTTTTGGATCTCTGTCTCTTCTGTCCCCGTCTCCGTCCCCATCCCCGTCCCAGTCCCGTCCCAGTCCCGTCCCAGTCCCCGCCTTTGTTTCTATCTCTCTGCCCAAACATTTCCCAATGTCCTTCTGACTGAGCAACACTTGGGCTGTAGCCATCGACGCTCTCTGCTGCCTCCAGGTCCTCAAACCACTTTTTTTTTTGGAATCAAACTCAGGACCTCGCGCTCGCCAGGCTATCTCCCAGGCCCTCAATGCCTTCTCTGGGCCAGATTCTCCTCCTGCGAAATGGACAGACTCTGGGACGCAGAGCACAGCGCTGACCCCCGCGCCACCCGCCACCACTAGAGACCCGGCGCTTCTCGCCCATTTCCTTTTTCCTTTCCCAGACCAGGTCTCGCTATGTAGTCCAGGCCGGCCGCCAACGTGGGGTGATTCTCCTGCCTCAGCCTCCAGCGTGCGCACCACGCCCGGCCAGCCGCCCATTTCTTCCACTCATCTCTGATAAACATGTACTGAGCGCCTTTTGCTGGGGGGCGTGGGGACGGGAAGGAAGGGACTAAGGGGGCTGCCCTTTGGGGCGAGGGCCGCGATCCGGGACGTCTCTGGCTCCATCTAGACGGATGTTGAGAAGTTAAACTTGGGGTGCGGGGTGGGGTGCAAGGCGGCTTTGCGGCTTTGCTTACCTTGGGCCGCGTCTGAAGCCTCCAACTCCAAACCTCGTTTCCGCCGGGCCTCGAGGGGCCCGGGTCCCCGCCAGCAGCCCCTCCTGGGCGACCTCGATTCCGACCCCGGCCAGGGCGCTGCAACCGAAGCTGCCCAATAGCGAGGTCCTGAGCCTGAGCTGCCAGCCGGGCCTCTGCCACGCCCCTTAGTGGGCGGGACCATGGGGGGGTCGGACAGTGAGGTCGCCCCGCCCCGTCCTTAAAGGTACAGGCTCCAGAGATGAGATGAGGAGGCGGCCCCAGTCTCCTCCCTCCAGCCTCCACCTCCCCTGGGAACCCTAGCCTGTGGGTTCTGCTTCGCCAGGAAAGCAGAAGCTGAGATGAAAGTAGCTGAAACTAAGGGGAGCAAGCAGGAGGCAGAGAGGGGCCAGTTACAGGACTAATGGAGGAGACTCCCTACCCCTTCCAGAGGATGGGATAGGAGGGAGGGTGTCAAAATTCCTCTAGGAATGGGTGTGTTAAGAAGAATCTGAAAAAAAGAAGAATCTGAGGCCCAGCGGTGTGTTGGCTCACATCTGTATTCCAGCACTTGGGAGGCTGAGGCAGGAGGATCCTTGAGAGTTTGAGACCAGCCTGGGCTACAAAGTGAGATCAAGGCCAGCCTGAGCTGAACAAGAGTGTCAGCACTTCGGGAGGTCAAGGCAGCTTGAACAACTGGACAGCGGATCGCCGGGTTTCCTGTGACTTTTGCCACTCCTGAGACCCCTCCCCCAGCATCGGTTTCCTTCCTATAACCTGGGGATTGATTGCATGGCACCTGACTCGTGGGGTCTGGGCTCTGGGTCTAAATCCCCAAGTTCCCCTATATACACCGAGTAACACCTGCTCCACCGGCACCGGCTCCCCAGAAGCCCCCATGGTCACTCCTTCCCTCCCGTCCAGCCCTCCCAGTCGGACAGCCCACGTCCAGTGTAGGAGTGACCTGGCCTGCGCTGCTGAGGTCAGCTGCCCCAGGTCACCTGCCTGGGAGGAAATGCTGAACTGCTGAGACTGGAGCCAAAGTCCTCCATCCCCCAGGGGGTCTGACCTGGGAGGTGGGCGCCCAGCCAGGAGCTGGAAGTGAGCTGGACCAGCAGATCCCAGGGCTGAGAGGGGTGGGGGTCCACCGGGGACAGGAGTGGAGAGCAGAGAGGCTGAGGGAAGGCGTGGACCTGGAGACAGGGAGGGGGACTAAGAGGCAAGAAGGCAGGCCTGGCTCACCCTGACTTGATGGCCAAGGGTTAGCCAGGAAAGCCCTGGGGTTATCTTGCTGGGTTAGGAGCGATCCCTGGAGGCAGACACTAGATAGAAAGCATTTTATGTTTTAAGTTAGTACTTACTGATTTTTGGTACTGGGGACTGAGCCCAGGGCCTTTGCACTGAGCTACATCCCCTGGTCCCTTTTTATATTCTATTTTGAGACAGCCTCCACGAGTTGTTCAATTGTCCAGGCTGGGCTGGAACTTGAGATCCTCCCACCACAGCCACCCAGTGCTCGGATCACAGGCATGTGCCACCACACGCAGCTGCCTGTCTGCATTTCTGAAGGTCATGAAGGGATCAGGGTGACGGATCTGGTCTTGAATCAGAGGGTGACAGGGCATCGCATGGGAGCCTCTCCACACCGCCTCTCTGCAGAAGCCTCCTTAAATGGTGTGTCAAGGAACCGGGCCCCTGGGGACCAGGGAACAAGAGGAAGCTCCACTGTCTCTTATGACGGAGTGCAGAAGTGAGACTAGGTCACATAGCGTCACCTTACCCTGGTCACAGAGCCACTGGATTGAAGGAGAGGAGACACTACACTTCTCTATGGGGTACATGTCTATCACATGCAAGGGGGAGAGTGTGACATTCCAGTCCTGGGGGTGATCATGATTGGAAAACAAGAATTTTGCCACCACACCTTCATCCACTGAGATGGCTCTTGGAGTGCCCAAGAGGCATGGTGAGCAGCAGAGGGGTTGTATTTTATTTTTTGGCAGAACCAGGGTTTGAACTCAGATCCTTGTGCTTGCCAGCCAAGTGCTTATTCTACTGAGCCATCTCCCTGGCCCCCTAGAGGAGGAGGGGAACAGACCCTCAGTTCCCATGGGTAGACCAACAGCTGCCCACAGGGTCCCACATAGTCTGACATTGTCCTTGGCTCTTCCTCTCCCCCCAGACAGGGTCTCACTGTAATTCAGGCTGACCTTGATCTCACCATGTAGCCCAGGCTCACCTTGAACTCTGGGTGATCCTCCTGCCTCGGCCTCCTGATTGCTGAGGTAACAGACCTATACCACCAGGTCTAGCTCTATATTGAAGACTGCCGCATAAGCTGCCCACGCTGGTTACAACTCTATGAGTGGGGACTACATGGATTCCCATTTCCCCAGCGAGGTAAACCACCAGTCCTCAAGCCACCTGCTGGGAAGTGGCGGAGGCAGAGTTGTGTCCAGGAATGAGTGCCCCTGGTAGAATCTCCTTCCCTCCTGAGGTTGAGCACCAAGTTTCCCCGAGGGGAAGGCCAGGCTCGCCTCACTCTCCGAACACCCCTGTTAGAGACCTGGGATAGGGGCGGCAGCTCCCAAAGCACTGCAGGGATCCAGAGAGAGGAACCTCAAGAGAGCCGGGAGGGGACCGAGGAGATGGCTCAGTAGATAAGCGCTTCACTGGCAAGCCAAGGGCCTCAGTTCAATCCCTGGTTGGGGGCAGGGGGAAGAGAGCCAGGAGGAGAAGTAGACATGTAGCCTGAAGCTGGGGGTGTGGAGGGGCCTGGAGGGTGCTTGGGCTTTACTGTTTTATTGTTTGTTTATCTGAGACAAGGTTTTGCTCCGGGCAGTTTGGGCTGGCCAAGAGTTCACTGTGTGGCCCAGGCAGGCGTTGGCCTTGGGGCAATCCTCCTGCCTCTGCCTTCCCAGGGCGGGGATTACAGGTGTGTATCACCACACACCCAGCTTGGGATATCTTCATGGACCCTCCTAGGAGATGCCTGAGGTGAGTGGACAACTGGTCAATGTCCATGTTATAGGCTTGAAAATGCTTAGCCCTTTGCCCTACCTGGAGCTCCGTGAAGGTGAGACTGGCTGAGGCTCAGAGCACAAGACTGGTTACTGGAGCAACCATCCCAATTCTGCAGTGATTGGAAGTAACCAATGTGTTCAACACGAGGTGATGGGACTCGGCTGCTGCTCTTCACTCAGTGAACTGTCTGCTTCAGGACACTGAACCTACAAGGGTAATAGTGAGAGAGCAGGCAGTCGGGCCTGGTGGCACGTCCTGCAGTCCCAGTGTTCAGGAGGCTGAGGCAGGACACTCATCCTGCCATCAAGGCCAGCCCGAAGTACATAGTGAGGACTTGTCTCAAAACCATTAAATTATTTTAATTTTTTCTTTTGGCGGAACCAGGGATTGAACTCAGGTTCTTGTGCTTGCTAGAGAGGCGCTTATTCCACTGAGCCATCTCTGTGGCCAAACTTGCACTTTCTGCTTTGTTTTGCCTGGTTTTCTGTTTGTTGGGTTAGGATTGGTACTTTAAGACAGAGTTTTGCTATTTAGTCCAGGCTGGTCTTGAATTGCTTTCTGATAAACTTCAAATGGCCTCAGTTTCCCCATCTGTAAAGTAGGGACAGCTGCTATGGAACTTCTTGGGTGGCTGGGAGGATTTTATGGCTGAGAATGTTCACAGTGAGCAGTTCCCAAGTGGTACCACTAACTGTATTCACACCAAAAGACAGAGCCAGACAGAGCAGCACACGCTTGCAATCCTAGCCCTCTGGATGCTGAGGCAGGAGGATCGTGAGTTCGTGTCCTGTCTGGGCAACATGGTGAGGCCTGCCTCAAAAATAATAAATAACAAAGGGCTGGGAGTGCAAGTGAGTCCTAATACATATATACTTTTTCGTTATACTAGAGATTGAACTTGGGACCTAGTACCTGCCAGGCAGGCACTTATGCTGCTGAGCTAAATCCCCAGCCCTCAAACAGTTCAGGACATTTTTTTTGAGGCAGGGTCTTGCTATGCAATTTGGGCCGACCTTGTGCTCACGTTGTAGCCCAGGCTGGTCTCAAACTCTCAGTGATCCTCCTGTCTCAACCTCCAGAGTGCTGGGATTACAGGTGCATGCCGCTGTGCCTGGTTCATTCCTTTCTGTAATTTAGCAGGAGGAGGGGGGCCCAGGTCATCAAAGGTGCAGGGATGGGGGAGGGTGCTTTTGAAGTCGTAGAAAGTCACTGTGAGGCAGATCTGGATCATCAGTGTTACACGCACTGCCCCTCCCTTACAGCCCCTCTGTTCCTGCCTACGCCGGCTGTTTCCAGCCACAAACCCGCTGTACTTACTGCTGCCTCCTCAGGCCTCCTCCTCTTTCAAGGTTTCTGGCTCCGTTGTCTTGCCTTATTTCTACCTGACATAGTCTTTATTAGTTTTAAAGTTTGCCACTGTCTCGTCCTCGGTCTTTGGGTATGGATGAGGGCCACCCAAGGGCTGGGGTTCCATCCATCTCATCCACTGCCCTGTCCCTGGGCCTTGACAGACTTGGCCCAGTAACGGTGTCACTGGTATTACTCTCACCACTCAGTCCCCACAGGGTCCTGCGTGCCAGGCAGTCTGCCCCCACCCCTAGGGACACAGCATCTCCCTGCAGATCACTGTGTCCCTTCTACCAAGGGACTCTCATGACACAAGCTGGCCAAGAAAAGACCCCACATAGGATAATCCTCAGATGGGTCACAGGGCTGGGCACTGTGTCATAGTCAGAAATATATTCAGGCCTGGCTTGGTGGCACACAGGAGTAATCCCGGCACTCTGGAAGGCTGGAAGCAGGAGGATTGCAAGTTTGAGCCCAGCCTGGACACCTTGGCAATTTAGCAAAACCCCGGATGTAGCTTGTTTCGAAGGCACTGTAGCTTTGTTTTTTTCATATTTTAATTTTTTGATGTGGAGGACGGAGCCCAGGGTTTCAGTTCTACAGCTGAGCTAAATCCCCGGCCCTTTGAAGACATTGGTTTCAATCCCCAGTACCAAGAAGAAGAAAAGATTAATTAAATGTAACAAAATATTAGCAAGGAATAACGAGTATACGAGCTTTATTCCTTCAAGTCCTCTTGAGATGTGATGTGCGAAATAAAAAGCGTGAGGGGAAGGGAGGGAAACAAGATTGTCTTAGGAAGGGGCCTGGGAGATGGCTCAGTAGGATAAGCGCTTGACTGGCAAACGCAAGAATCTCAGTTCAATCCCCGGTTCCGCAAATTGTCTTAGGCGGGCCCTTTAAGACGCGCCCCGCCCGCGACGGCGTCCAGGCCCCGCCCACCCCGGAAGCGCTCCCTGGCTCCGCCCCTGTCCCGCCCTGGCCCCGCCTACCCGGCCTGGGCAGAGGCCTCGGCAGGCGCGGTCATGGCGGTGCCCACGAACAGGTCCCTGGCCCAGGCTCTTGCCTTCCTGGTCGGGCTGCTCCTGAGCGGCCTGGCGGGCGCCATCCCGGCCCCGGGCAACGGCGGGGCGCGCGACGGGCCGGGGCCACCCGCTTGCCGCTCCGTGCTCCTGGACGCCGCGTCGGGCCAGCTGCGCCTGGTGGAGGGTCGCCACCCCGAGGCGGTGGCCTGGGCCAACCTCACCAACGCCATCCACGAGACCGGGTGAGCTGGGCTGCAGCCCGCGCGCGCAGGGCCTCCCTGGGCGCTGTGGCCGGCGACAGGCCGCCGCCCCTAGAGGTCGCATGCTCCCGGAGCCTGCGGCTGTGGGCCCGGACCTGGCCCGAAGGCTGAGGCAGCGCGCCTGCCTGCCTGCCTGCCTGCCTGGTGCCTCTTCCTTGTTCCGTGGTGGGACAGTTCTGTCCTCATAAAAGCAGTGCCCCTGCCCGCAGCCACCGTGCCGCATCGGGATCCGTACCCACAGGGTATCAGGCACCAGCCCCACGAGGCCGGCCCTTGTCCCGTGGCCGCTGCGTGGGGCCAGCTCTCTGGGCGGCAAGATCACACCTGCGTGGCTGACGGCGATAGCCAGAGCCCCGTCTCCGTGCAGAATCAGGACAGCGGGTGCCAAGCTGTTACCAGGGATCGCGAAGCAGAGGAGCCCTGGTCCACTCAGGCACCGCGATGCCCTGCTCCTCCTTGTCTTCTGCTGCCCTGGTCCAGGGGGAAGTCCTCACCTTGACTGCGGATCACAGCCTGGCATGACCCAGGCTGTCACCCCACGCGTCTCTCACCTCAGTCCTCTGCCCATCTGGCTGCCCACTGCACCATCTGCAGCCCAAATCCTGAAGATGTGCTGGGCCTGGGTGGTTGGGTGAAGCCCCTTAAAGCCGTGCAAGCCTAGTGCTTAGCCTTAAGCACCCCAGCTTGAGCAGCTTATGGGTTTCTCCCCTGTGAGACAAGTGGGGACCTTGCGAGTCTTCCACCCCTTCCTGGGCACATCTCAGGGTTCAGGTGACACTGTCCCCAGTGCTGGGGCAGGGTGCTGGCATGCACTGATTGATTCCTGCAGAGGTTGGGATTTTGAGGAGACCCCCGTTTTGGCGGCTCTCACAGGCTGCTGCAGATGTAAACCAGGTAGGCGTAATCTGGGAATGGTTCCAAGGAGAGGCAGCCAGAGTGGGTTCATGTCTGTGGCTGGTGGCAGGGCTTGGTGGCACATGGCTGTAACTCCAGCCCTCTGGGAGGCTGAGGCAGGAGGATCACAAGTTCAAGCTCAGACTGGGCAATTTAGCGACTTACCAAGACCGTGTCTCAACATCACAAGAGGGCTGGGAATTAGGAATTAGTTCAGTGTGAAAGCCCTGGGTTCAGAGTACTGCCAGAAAAAAAAAAAAAAAACAAAAAAAAAACCCCTCAGAGCTTGTGGCTGGTGGCAGGACTCTGGGATCTGGTGAGCTGTTCTTTGCTGACTCACACATGGTTTTGGCTCTGTCTGCAGAACCAAGAGGCCAGACCTCTCAATTCCTGGATGCTAGGGGTGTGTGTGTGCGCAGCACACTTCCCTCCCCCAGGCCATGGGAACCATGGGAGTGGAGAAACCTTCACTGTGGGTTAACTAACTGCTGTATGACCTTGGATGCACCCTTCTGCTTCTCTGAGCCTGTTTCTTCACCTCCCAGTGAGGAGGAAAGGGCCACAGAAGTTCAGTAGGACCCTGGAAAACACCACTGAAGGAAGGAAAGAAGGAAGGAGCAGGTGTCCCTTGTCCCCACTTGACAGTTGGGGAAACTGAGGCCTGAGGTAAATCCAGGGCTCTTCCAGGCTTCTTCTTCCCCTCAAACCCTCCTGGCTTCCAGGCTTAAATTTGAGATCTTCCTGCCTCAGCCTCCATGTTTTCAAACATGTCCTTTCTCATGAGGCTCCACAATGGGACCCTCTAGTTGGCTGAGAGCCATTAGGTGCCCCTGATGTCAAATCAGTGTGGCCTGTGGATTTTGGGATTGCAGAGGTTGTTAGGGAAAGAGATGCAGTGCAGCCAGCAGCCAAAGCTGAAAACTGTATTGACCACATTTATCTCCTATGGTGAGTAATTTGAGGAGCAAACAGGCAGAAATGACATAATCTCTGAATAAAGAGCAGTCATTTACAAGGACATCAAGTTATGGAAACTCTATGGTTGTTGTTTTTTTTTTTTTTTCCCCCTTCTGGTGGTTTAACCCAGAGCCTTCACACTAAACTATATCTCTGCCCTTTTTATTTTGAGAGAGGATCTTGCTAAGTCACTAAGTTGCCCGGGCTGAGCTTGAACGTATGATCCTTCTGCCTTAGCCTCCGAGAGGGCCGGAGTTACAGGGGTGCACCACCACACCTGGGTTATAGGGGTTTGTTTGTTTGCCAGGGGTGTGGGTTAGAGTTTTTCTCAATCAGGACAGCCGATTGAGGGTTAGGGTTAGGGTTAGGGTTAGGGTTAGTGGCCGCTGCAAAGGTCTCAGTCTTCCTGTTCACAGGTGGGCAGCTGTGGCTAAAGACAGGCAGTGTGGCAGGAGGCGGATTTGGGTTTAGCATCCCATGTCCATATTCAGACCCCGGTGCAGGGCTCTCTCAGGGGCAGCTGCTAGCCCAGAGCTAAGTAAACGCGATTAGAGGACCCTCTCCACCTACCTCCTTCCAAGCAAATTCGTGGCCGGGCAGATGCCACCTTTTGGGTTCTTTTTCTTGAGACAGGATCTTGCTATGTAGTCCAGGGCAGCCTCAAAGTCATGGTGATGCTCCTGCCTCAGCCTCCTGAGTGCTGGGCGCGCAATGCCACCACGCCTGTTTCTGAGGACTCAGGCAAAGTGCGTGTGTCCTGAATCACACTGCTGCTCCCCGAGTAAGGCTGGAAGGGGGGGAGTAAGGGATGACAGCATCCTTACGCTCCTTATGTGTGGTGCTGTGTCTGCAGGGGCGGGACATGGGTGGCAGAAATCATCACTTTTCATTTATGCTTCTCCTTTCTGCTCAGTTTAGAGGAAGCCACAAGGATTTTATTTATTTATTTATTTATTTATTTATTTATTTATTTTTGAGACAAGCTTTTAAGTTGTCCAGGCTGGCCTCGTGTTCGAAATCCTTGTGCCTCAGCCTCCCCAGTAGCTGGGATCATAGGCCTGCCCCACCACATCTGGTCATCCTTGAAATTTTGAGTCTTTATTTCCTTGCTTGTTTTCTCTTATTACCCATGATTACGTCATTATGTCGAAGTTCATGATTCGTAGTTTTCTTTGATAAGCATTGTGTCCCTGTAAGAGACCCTTATACAACTCACACAGCTCATTCTGTTACAGGGAAGTAACTTGCCCTCTTAGAGGTGCCTGTCTTAGGACACTGAAGAATTGGAGCAGAATTGAAGGCAAAGAGATTCAGAGTAGGAAGGGTTTTTTTTTCAGAACTGGGGATTGAACTGAGGCAAAGCCCTTGGGCTTGCCAGGCAGTCATTTATTCTACTGAGCTATCTCCCTGGCCCCCTGAGAGTAGGAGGTTTTATTGAAGGAGAGCCCCTGCGGGCATCAAGGGTCTGAACAAGTGGCTTGTACTGGGGGGGTCCCCTTGGGTCAAGCTACAGACAACTTACAGAATTCTAGGCAAAGTCACTTAGCTGATACTAATATAGTAGAAAAACAAGGTAGTAGACAGGGTGCATAGCCAGGGGCAAGCAAGGCATTTCTGGAAGGGGTAGAGTTCCGGTCTTCTGTTTCAAACTCCTGTCTTTGTTGCTAATATGCTTGCTGCATTATTTTTGTGCGTTTGAGACACTGTTTTTTCATGTGTTTGTTATATTGTTTCTATGTGTTCCACACATTGTTTCTATATGTATGTGGTGTAATTGTCTTTAAAAATGTTTCTTAAGCAGGCTTGGTGGTGCATGCCAGCGCAGTCTAGCCAGCACTCTGCAAGGCTGAGGCAGAAGGGTTGAAAGGGAAGCCTACTTTTTTTTTTTTTTTTTTTTTTTTTTCCCCAGAACCAGGGATTGAACTCAGGCCCTTGCACTTGCCAGGGAAGCGCTTAGTCCACTGAGCCGTCTCCCGAGCCCCGTGAATCCTACTTTGGCAATTTAGTGACTTTTGGAGATGCCTATGGCAAAATCTAAAAGGACTCGGGATGTAGTTATGCACAAAAGCCCTGGGTGGCAGACAAACAAAACAACCAACAGTTTTCTCTTGTTTGAATGTGCAGCTACCCCATCATGAGGTGAGCCTCGTGAGGGCCGTGACGACAGGTGTGCCTCACCACCCCTGGCTCGTGGTTCCCTTGATTTTAACTGCAGGCATCTTGAATCTAAAAACAACATATTGTTTTGCTCTACTTGATTTTGAGCTCTACAGAATATATCCATAAAGGTGCCAGTGAGATAGCTTATTGCAGGGACCATGGTTCATTCCCTGGCACCACATGCCCCCAGGGTGGCTGAACCAGCCCCAGAGTCCGGGTGTGGTGGCACATGCTTGTAATCCCAGTGCTGGGAAGGCTGAAAGCAGGAGGATCACTATGAGTCCGAGCTATCTAGTGAGGCCCTGTAACACCCCCCCAAAAAAACTATATATATATATATATATTTTTTTTTTTTTCTATATATATCCATAGGGATCTTTTTGTGTTGGTTTGTTTGTTGTCTTTGAGGCAGGGTCTCCCTCTGTATCGCAGACTGGCCTGGAGCTTGTGATCCTCCCACCTCAGCCAGGAATCCTTTTAAATGAGGGAGTAGGTGCTGGGTTGCAGCCCAGTCTTAGAGTGCTTGCTCGATGTACCTGAGGCCCTGGGTTCAGGGGACACACACACACGTGCACGCCCCTCAAAATAAAAAGAGAAAAACAGGAGTTTGTTCTTTGCAGAGCCAGCCCATTCACTATTACAGCTGCAGGCCTGCCCGCACCGGTATCACCAGGGTGCTGCTGGAAAAGCCACGCACCATGATGCACACCTGTAATCTCAGCTCCTGGGGGGACTGAGGCAAGAGGAGCCCAAGTTCGAATCCACCTAAGTAACTTGGTGAGACCTGGTTTCAAAAGAAAAAGGACTGAGAATATACTGCAGCCCAGTGGTATAGTATTTCTGCATTCAATTTCCTACTGCTGTAAATAGGAACTAAAATAGAAGCACTTGTGCTCTCTCACCCAGCAGCTCCTCCTTGCAGGACTTAGCCCAACAGGTGCACGAGGACAGCTTGCAATCACAGGTGACAGAACAGGAGCTGAACAGTGTTGATGGCAGCTTGCTGTGGGTCCTGCACTGATTGCGTCCCTCCTGTCCCCAGGTGGGCCTTCCTGGAGCTGGGCACCAGTGGCAACTACAATGACAGCCTGCAGGCCTACGCAGCTGGTGTGGTGGAGGCCTCCGTGTCGGAGGAGGTGAGGCCAAGTGTGGGCAGCTGGGACACAGCTGTTTCTATCCCTGCCAAGCAGTTCCCTGGGAAGGTTGTTTGATTTTATTTTGCTTTTTTGAGACAGGGTTTCATTATGCAGAGTTTAGTCTGGGTTCAAACTTGTGACCCTCCTGGCTTGGCCTCCTGCCTGCTGGGATGACAGGCGTGCATCACCATGCCTGGCTCTTATTCCTGTGATTTAATGTATGTACGAATCTTAAAACAACACATTTTGCTTTACTTGATTTGGACCTCTGCAAGAATGGTCACAATATTTGTCAAAGTTGCCCCGAGCCAGTGGGTCAGTCAACGAAGGTCACCTGGGAGAGGAGCAGGGAATTGAGGGGACAAAGGACAGAAGACGCGAGAAATGGAGACAAGACAGGATTCTGATCAAGTCTCGTTTATTCAGGGGTGGTGCTGGGTATATATAGTGGAAGCATAGGGAAATGACGTCGGCGGGTAAAAAAGGCGTGAGTAACTAGGCAACCGGGCTATGACAGGAAGTCCCACCTCCTGGGCATAGCAGGAGACTTATGGGAAATAGGCGGGGTAAGAGAACTAGGATCTTAGCTCAGCAGAGGTAGGGGAAGAGGAACCCGGAAACCCACTTGCATTAGGATTGGAGGCCTGGAGTTATTGAACCTCCCACACAAAGTCAGATAGTATCCAGCTCGGCATCGGCTGAAGTAGGAGGATGGCAAGTTCTAGGTCGGCCTGAGCTACAGAGAGATCCCATCTCAAAAAACAAAAAGACAGCAAAACTAGAAGGGCCAGCAAGATAGCTCAGCCGACCAAGTGCCTGCTTTGGCAAACACAGCGACCAGAATTCAATCCCCCATCATGCGTTGAGCCGGCGACAGACTCTGGGCACAATGGTGCACACCTGTAATCTCAGCACTGGGGAGGCTGAAAACAGGAGAATCACCACAAGTCCAATCTGCATAGTGAGACCCTGTACCAAATACACAAATGAAAAAAAAACTAGAAAACACATTCATTGTCCACCTGGTAAAACACAGATAGACTGGGTCCCTGGAACCAGGACAGGGCGGTGTAGGCAAGGCGGCCAGAGGAGGGCACCTTGGAGGGGCTACGGGGGGAGGGAGCATGGGGGCTGCCAGGGAGGGGACAGTGAGCCTGTGCTCTGCCCTCGCGCTGCAGCTCATCTACATGCACTGGATGAACACCATGGTGAACTACTGTGGCCCTTTCGAGTACGAGGTGGGCTACTGTGAGAGGCTCAAGGGCTTTCTGGAGGCCAACCTGGAGTGGATGCAGCAGGAGATGGAGCGGCAGCAGGACTCTCCCTACTGGCACCAGGTGGGCCCGCCCCCGCCCCGCTCCTCTGTCGGCCTGACTGTAGCCTGCCCACCACGTCCTGTCAAAGAAGGGCTAGGGGCACACTTAGTGCTGGGGGCTCTGTGTACCTGCGCACCGCGGGACGGTGGGGCGGTGATTGGCGTGCATGTGGGGCTTTGACCAAGATGCCAAAAATGTCCTGGCCTAGAGCACTGCGCCTCCCTTTTCTTGGGTGAGCGGCTCTCTGGCCACAGCCAACAGAGCCTGGGTCAGGCACTTTGCTCTTGGACCATGGGCTTGGTCCTGAGCGAACAGGTCAGTTAATTTATAGATTCCTTACAAACCTCAAGGGCTGAGTTACCGGGACAGTTTAGTGCCGTTTAGGCGGTGGGTGCCTGAATGCACATCCACCTACCTTGGGCCCTGTTGGTACCTTTCTCCCATGTGAGACCATTTCACTGTCTGTATCCCTACCTACACCCTCCCTAGAGCAGCCGTCCGCCCACCCATCCCTCCTCCACCCGCCTGCCCACGCACACATCCACTTTGCACGCATTTACCCGTCTACCATGCCATGCTTCCATCCTTCCACCCATCCTTTCCACTCCCTCCACTCATTCATCCACCACACATCTGCCCACCTGTTTTTCCATCCACCCATCTACATTTTCTTCCATTCACTGTCCATCTTGCTAAGAGCCTGGTGAATGCCTAGCAGAGGCCAATGGCCTATGCAGGGCACGGCGATGGTGCTCACAGTTACAGGGTGTGGAGACAGAATAGTGACAACAGGGATTGGTGGGCTACAGGAGCCCTGCACCCGAGGCAGCGTGCTAGCACCTGACCTCAGAATAGGGAGCGGGCTCCAGCCTGGGTGGGCTGTGAGGCTTCAAGTAGGAAGCAGCTTTTGAACCCGGCTCTTCCGCAGGGGTGACTTGGGGGTGGCAGCAGGCAGAACCTTGCTGCTGTCCACTAAAAGCAGGACTGTAGGCTGGCTGGAGCCCAGCGGGTGCACTGGGCCTGCTTGGTGCCTGGGCCAGGCCCCTGCCTTCAGGGTACATTGTGACCCTCCGTCTGTCCCTCCCAGGTGAGGCTGACCCTCCTGCAGCTGAAGGGCCTAGAGGACAGCTACGAGGGCCGCTTGAGCTTCCCCACTGGGAGGTTCTCCATCAAGCCTCTGGGGTTCCTGTAAGTGCCACCTGCTCACTGCCCCACCCCTTGCTGCTTCATGGCCTGTGGCCTGTGCCTGTCTGCGGCCCTGCTGAGCCCCAGCTGTGAACCAGGTGCAGAGCAGCAGGCCTGGTGACCTGCCGTGCCCGGCCTCCCCAGACTGCTGCAGATCTCGGGCGACCTGGAGGACCTAGAGCCAGCTTTGAACAAGACCAAGACCAGGGCGACCCTGGGCTCCGGCTCCTGCTCTGCCCTCATCAAACTCCTGCCTGGCCAGCAGGACCTGCTGGTGGCACATAACACGTGGAACGCCTACCAGTACATGCTGCGTGTCCTCAAGAAGTACCAGCTGCAGTTCCGGAAGGGCCCCCGAGGTGGGTGGGCGAGGTGCGCCTGTGTGTGTGCAAGCGGCCCCTGTCCCTGCCCTTGGGGCACGGGTCACTCAAGAGCTGTGCCCACAGTTTATCATTCAGGGGAGGGGTGCTAGCGGTGGATCCCAGACCTGGTCCACGCTAGCTCGGTGCTCTGCCACTGGGCGACACTTCCATAGCTCCTAATGCTTTGAGATAAGGTCTCTCTTGGCTTCAATTTGGGAACCTCATGCCTTAGCCTCCGGAGTTTCTGAGGTCACAGCATGTGCTTCTTCTCTTTTCTTTTTTTTTTTTTGGTGGAACCAGGGATTGAACTCAGGCCCTTGCGCTTGCCAGGCAAGGGCTTATTCCACTGAGCCATCTCCCCGGCCCCGGCATGTGCTTCTGTGCTCAGCTTGTTTTGGTTTTGCTGTGTGTTTCCTCCCCACCTTTTAAAAATTTATAAGTTCCAGTTAGTCATCGCTTTATAACCAGGAACCCCAAAATTTAAACCAATTACCATCTAGCTCTTGTGTCAGGGGTCAGCTGGTGGTTTGTTTCTCTGGGCCACTGTGGCTGACTAGGGCTGGGCTCACCAGTGTCCCTTGTCCCCTGGGGGGAGCTAGCTGATCAGGAGGGCCTCCCTCCTGTATCTGGAGTTTGACTATCAGTTCAGAAGCCCAGCAGGTGAGCCCAAGCTGGCTCGTGTGGTATCTGGCAGGGAGGGGAGGGCCTACGGAGACCTGGATGAAACTGGCGCCGCCTTCTGACACCCAAAGCAAGGCAAGTGGCTGGCCTGGACCCTGGGGGGAGGGGTAGAGCCCACTCTGCGTGACGGGCGTCTCGAAGTCCCATTGCAGATGCTGTGGATGCCAGTACAGGAAGGGTGACGGCCATGTTGCAGACAGCAGGAGCTGTAAGGGATGCGTGAGCACTTTTCCTCCTGCGTGAAGTGACAAGTAGCAGCTCAGGCCCAAGTCCCCACATTGGTCAACCTTGGGCTCCAGCCCCAGACCCATGTCAACTCCAGAGGCTCTGCTACCAAAAATTTGCAGAGTCTCTTTCTTATCCAGATTTTGTTTTTGAGTTTTTGAGACAGGGTCTTGGTAGTAGTCCAGACTGGCCTTAAACTCATGTTGATCCTCCCGCCTCATGAGTGCTGGGGTTATGGGTGTGTGTCACGTCGCACAGCTTGGCCAAACTTGAAAATGTGGTGGTACGAGAGGCAGCAAGACAGTGGGAAGGGGCTGCCCTCATTCCCTGCTTGTGGGGGGACATGTTGGCGGTGCTATTTTAAAGAACTTGGCTGACATCAGGTAAATTTCCCAGTGCTTCGCTCCTGTGACCCGAGGTTCTCTGACTCAGGCTTGGACTAGAGAAGTCTCTCACCTTGTGCCTGGGGTGGGGACAGGAGGTTGTCACAGCAGAGGTGCTTTGGAGACAGCCCAGTGGCTGTGAATTTCCAGCCTAGCCTGCCCCTGGGGTAACATCTGAGCAGGAGCTAGACACACTGAATGCGCAGCCTGACTGTGCGCAGCATCGGCTGGGGACCTGGTGCACTCTGCCTGAGCAGGGCCCCAGCTCTCAGCCTGGAGGGATGGACAGGACCCGACTCCTGTGGCCCAAGCTCCCTTGTGCCTGGCCTCCTCCATGGGTACCTGGCATCTGTCCCTTCCTTTGTGCAGTTGTGGCTCCAGCCTGTTTGCTGGGTGCTCTGTGTGTGTGTGTGTGTGTGTGTGTGTGTGTGTGTGTGTGTGAGAGAGAGAGAGACAGACAGACAGACAGACAGACAGACAGACAGACAGACACAGAGACAGAGACAGAGTGTCCCAGAAGAGACAGACAGAGACAGAGAGGTCTGTAGTGTGCTCCAAGTGCTACAAATTGAATCCCTTATGCTAAACAGGTCTTCAGCCACTGAGCTACATGGGAGTCCTCTTACATTTTACCTATAAACATGTTGTATTTGGTGGCATACCTGTAATCCCAGCTGTTTGTGAGGCTGAGTCAGGAGAATCACAAGTTTAATCCCACTCCTGGGCAATTTGCCAATTTAGGAAGACCGTCTCTAAATAAATAGGGCAGGTTAAGTGGCTCAGTGTGAAGGCCCTGGCTTCGATCCCAATTAGCATAAAGAACAGGCTTCCTTGGATTTTCCACTGTAACTTGCTTCATTATGTGAATAAAGTGAGCAGGCTGACTGTGGGAAAGGGCCCTGGGGCAAGGGCAGCGCCGCCCCTCCTCAGGAAATTGCGCGGGGCCAGCTCAGTTTGGCTCCATCTGGATTTTTTTGGATGTTTTTTCTGTATGTATCCCACCACCTGGGAATTAAATGTAGGGCATTTCCACTGAGCTACATCCCCAGCTGTTTTTTATCTTTTTATTTTGTGTCAGGTTCTCACTAAGTCACTAAGTTGTCCAGGCTGGACTTGAACTCCCAGCCGTCCCTCCTGGGCCTCCCAGAGGGCTGGGATTAAAGGATGTACTATGACAACACATGGTGCTTTAACACATGGCTCCTGTGTTTAAGAAAAGGCCCAGAGGGGGCCGGGGAGATGGCTCAGTAGAATAAGTGCTTCCCTGGCAAGCCAAGGGTCTGAGTTTAATCCCTGGCTCCAAAAAAAAAAAAAAAAAAAAAAAGCCTGGCTTTCCAGATACAGTGGGTGGGTGCTACTGTGACGTCTTCCTGGCAGGTTTGTTACAGGAGAGGAACCTGTAGATACATTAAGTGGTTGTTTGCATTAGGTTCACTCCGCCACTTTATGCCTTTGTTTTATTTTGCGGGGCTGGGGCTGGAACCCAGGGCTTGCCCTGCTAACGGAGAGGGAACCCAGTTGGGAGTGGGGGGCCCTCCAGCCTCAAACCCAAGTCCTACCAGGCAAGGTGCAGGGGTCGCTGGGCCTCCCTGACAGCGCCCACTGCTGTTCCCACAGAGGACTACCCCCTGGCTCCGGGCAACAAGATGGTCTTCTCGTCCTACCCGGGCACCATCTTCTCTGGTGACGACTTCTATATCCTGGGCAGCGGGCTGGTGAGTCACCCCAGCCCTGGGCTCTGGGAGCTCAGGAGGTCAGTGGGCCCACAGGGAGCATTGCCTGGGGAGAGTAAGGGGTGCAGTCCCCCACGACATCCCACTCCAGTTTGGGCCCTGTGGGCTTGCAGGATATGGGTTCCCAGCTGCTACAGGGCCCCAGATCCCGCATGTGGCCCAGGCCTCTGCATTGTAAGTCCATCCTTGGGGAGCACTGGCCTCTGGGACCTCAGGACACACCCTTGGCAGTGGCAACCTCAGTTGGTTGGTTGGTGTATGTATGTATGGATGGATGGATGGATGGATTGATTGATTGAAATAGTTTTGTTTTTCTATTTTTTCAGTACTGGGGGTTGAACTCAGAACCTTGTGCTTGCCAGGCAAGCACTTATTCTACTGAGCAATTTCCCCGGCCTGAGATAGAGTTTGTATTGAGATAAAGTTTTCGCTATGTAATTCAGGCTGGCCTTAAACTCATGTTCAAGGCTGGTTTTGAACTCCTGGTGATCCTCCTGCCTCAGGCTTCCTACTGCTGGGGTTACAGCCATGTGCCACACCTACCCCCCTTGTTTTGTTTCCGAGCGTAAACAACCCACCATGCTCCCCTGCCCACTCATGACCCCTTTTCCTGCTTCTCCCAACCCCCCCACCCACACACACTGGGCGAACCTTCCAAAGAGCGGGTCTTCACCCAGTTTTCCCTGGCTGGCATCCAGACTCGCTTGGAAATCTGTTCCTGGCACCATCACCACGAGGGTTGTGCCCACCATCACCAGGAGACAGAGCCATGCTTTATACAGAGCCCTTGGGGCCCAGGCCAGCCCTGGGGAGGGAGGGCCTTTCTGTCCTTTCCATTACTTTTGTCTGAGTGTGGGAAGCAGCCTGAGGTCCCTGCCACAGCCCAGGGCGGGGCAGCAGCTCCGTCCATGCAGTCCCTGGAGGGCGGGGCCAGGCCCACTTCCAGTGCGGTCTTTCACCGTTTTGGTGCCCCTGTTAGCCCCTTCTCAGGTGTAGGATTTGTTTTTCTGTGCTAGGAATTGAACCAGGGCCTGTGCAATCAGCTCCATCCAAGGCCTTTTTAAATTTTAGAATTTTGAGACAGCACTTTGGTGAATCACTGAGAGGCCCCCAGCTGGGCTGATGCCTCCCTCGGTCCCCCAGAGAGCCGAGGTCACAGGTGTGGCCACTAAATCTGGCTCGGCTTAGATTTTTTTTTTTTAA